ACTGAAACCACACCCATTTTAAGTTTGTACCGTATAGTTCCTATTTTTTATTGTACAAAAGCAGAGAAAATTTTGAAAATATTGAATTTTGTACAGTTTGTATCTTTCTTAATCCTTGACCAAATTTGACATTCTTGGTATTAAATTGATTGCCGAATCCTGCAGAAAGTAAATTATGTTATTATCTTTTGATAATAATTAAATTAAAATTTTTGCAGGCATCGCTATACAATGTATAAACATGTAACAGCATTTTATAAACAATGATACGTACCACAAAATTTTCTAGGATGAGTTTTAGCTTTAAAACTTTAGTTTCTGAGTAGTATTTGCTGGAAAGATAATTCGCCATTTTTAATTTCTGCACTTTACACCACGCCTACATAACATCATAAAATTAACTCTTTGTTTACTCAATTTAACTTCAGCTTTTTTGGAGGACGAGACTATAGGTTTTTCCTACTCTTTTCTCCTCCTTTCTTCCTCCTCTCGTAAGGAATAGTAGCTCCAAGAGTGATACGTTTTATCCAGCCAGACATGGAAGCTTTAGCCAGGCTCAACCAAACCTCTACAATCCTTTCATGGAGGACTCCCACCACTGAGCCTCAGTGACTATAGTGACCTCCTGTAAACTACCAAACGAGGTAACTGTAATTTAATTTAATGATTTTATCGTCCCAAGGAATATATACATGAATGTGTAAGGAGGATGTATCATCGTTGAAGGATTGCCGGCAAGGGGACCTGATAGAAGGTCTTGTTACCATTGGGTATGATAGAAAGCACTCTGCAGCCTGAATGGAGGTTGATAATGGCATATACTTAATAGCTAGTAATCTTTTTCAAGTTCAGGTTGTGAAAGCTATTGGCCAAATAAAGCCAGCCATTTTGGACCATTATGTGTATGGTGGTATGATCAAATTAAAACCCAGCAATCACTAATAACTTAGTACCCTTCTACAATTACCAGCCATACAGTATTATGATTGAAGTACTGAGGCACTGTTATTAATGTTAATTTGTAGGTGACTCCACTAGTTGAGGCAGTTATTCTTGTTCTCTCCTTCATCTGGTCTCTACTCTTGTCCTCTTCCTATGACTGATGGAGGAGCTAGACTAATTGAAGTGAGCAGACATTACACACAAATGCACATTATACTTAATGCATTACATACACATTTACATGTACATGTACATGTACTTACTGATTCTCTGGTGCTACTTCTTGTTATTGATTGCTTTTCTATAGCAATGTATACATGTATGTGTACATGAATGTAATTGATTAATAATTGCAGTAATAATAATTACTCATGATGCTAGGAATAAGATGGAAAATCACGCTAGTAAGGCTGTGGGCCTTTGGTGAAGTGGGCCATTGCTCAGGTAAGAGAGAGAGAGAGAGAAAGGAGTGTTTCAGTTAAAGCATGATTTTAATTGTGTATATGGAATTTAGTGATACATATACATGTTCTTGTGTTGTGTAGAAAGTTTGAGCTGATTCCGATTAAATTTGGATTTTTTATAAATTTTTAAAGTTGCTAAAAAATTGGGTCAAAGTCCCTGTACTACAGTACAGGGACATTAGCTAAATTTCACCAAAATTAAAAAGTAGAGAATTCTAATTTTTTGTAATATTTTCTGATACATATACTTGTCCTTATGTTGTGTAGAAAGTTTGAGCTGATTCCGAGCAAATTTTGATTTTTATGAATTTTTAAAGTTGCTCAAAAATCGGGTTAAATTCCCTGTACTATAGTACAGGGACATTAGCTAAATTTCACCAAAATTAAAAAGTAGAGAATTCTAATTTTTTGTAATATTTTCTAATACATATACTTGTCCTTATGTTGTGTAGAAAGTTTGAGCTGATTCCGATCAAATTTGGATTTTTAATGAATTTTTAAAGTTGCTCAAAAATTGGGTTAAATTCCCTGTACTATAGTACAGGGGCGTTAGATAAATTTAGCCAAAATTAAAAAAGTAGAGAATTCTCAGTTTTTGTAATATTTTCTGATACATATAGACGTACTTGTCCTTATGTTGTGTATAAAGTTTGAGTTAATTTTTTCTTATTTTTCCAAGAGCATGGGAATATTTTCGGATTCTTTTTATTTAATTGTTGGAATTTTTTTGTATTTTTTTTCATGAGTGTGGGATTATTTTTTGATTACTTATTTAATTTTTGGAATTTTTTCTGATTTTTTTCGAGAGCGTGGAAATATTTTAGAATTTTTATTTAATTTTGAAATTTTTGTATTTTTTTATGAGTGTGGGAGTATTTTCGAATTTTTTAATTTTATTTTTAGAATTAAAAAAAATTTTTTTCAGTAGTGTGGGAATTTATTCAGATTTTTTTAATTTAATTTTTGGAATTATTTATTCTGGTTTTTTCTCCGAGCATGGAAATATTTTCAGAATAGTTTTATTATATTTTTCGATTTTTTCTGATTTTTTTGGCAGCGTGGGAATATTTTCAGATTATTTTGTTTTTGTTTTTGAAAATTTTTCTGATTTTTTCAGAGAGCATGGGAATATTTTTAGCTTTCTTAAATTTAATTTTTGTATTTTTTGATTTTTTTTATTATGAGTGTCATAATATTTTTGATTATTTATGTTTTATTTTTTTAATTTTTTCGGAATTTTTACGAGATCATGTAAATATTTTTGAATTATTTTATTTTATTTTTGGAATTTTTTCTGAATTTTTTCCAACAGCGTGGGAATATTTTTGGATTTTTTTAGAACTAAGAACCCTGTCAGGAAACACTCTCATTATTTCATACTCAATCCCTCTAGGATGTTGACATACGACCCAATCCTGAACCCTGTCCTATCCTAGACGACAACAGGTATCCCCAATTCTAATTATACATGTAGTAACTTCTAATTATACATGTAGTAACTTCTAATTATACATGTAGTAACTTCTAATTATAGTAACAACACATCTAAATATAGTAACAACTATTACATGCTGAAATCATTAATGTATTTATTTTTAGAACCAACACTAATAATAGTAACAATACATCTAAATATAGTAACAATTATTACATG